CAGCCTTGAAACATCCTATTTCTCGCTGTCTTCGACGTCTTCCCCGGCCAAGCAATCAACCATACGGCAGGTTAAGAGGGAGGGGAAGGGCCAATATTAGTGGTCGCTGAGAATATCCAAAATGGCGGCTTTGTAACATATAGTGGAACGCTAGTGTGTCTAGTGTTGGCGTGTAATGAACGCCGTTGTATCGGACAATATCTGCAGATAACAAAACGAAAGCAGTACTTTCCAGGAGAATTTTTAAGTGCCTCTTTAGTGCTGCAGAGTACTGAATTTGTAACACGCAACCCGGGACACACATGCATTGCCTTCATAAACATTTCACAAACTTAACTTGCAAAATGGTATATCAACACAACTGGTGTATTAATTATTAAGTTGTTCTCTGTACATCAGAAAGCTCATTTAGGACACTATATATTGCAGGACATTGTGTCAAAATGATATATCACACAAAGTTATTGACAAATTGAACAATCTGTTTAATATTTTATTTTCCTTAATCATAAAAAAAAGTTCTAAATTTAGTTAATTAATTAATTGTTGGATATTCCCAGCAACCACATATCCCCTCTTAACCTGCCATTATGGTTGGTTGCTTGGCTAGGGAAGACGTCGAAGACAGCGAGAAATAAGATGTTTCAAGGCTGAGTCTGACGTTGAGAATCGTGTTAGTGACTTTTTAGTATACCCCTGTTAGAGGGATACAAGAGACCATGATGTTTTGTTTATGTTTGTAAAAATATGACCACCGGTAGGCCATAGAGTTGGCTACAGGGTAGGCCATGGCCTACCCCATGTTTTGTCCACACCCGTACTCACTTCGCCTTTGGCGAATAACTGACGATTCTGAGGTGGAGGGCTGTTACATGTAGATGGCCCATACATAATTTTGCACTTGTTCTGTAAATTAGCATTAATACTCATCTGTTGGTGTGCAACGATCTACAGCAATATTTAAYCTGATAATGTGCAGTGTATAATTATTAATTAACCAAACTATGCTGTTTTCAGTTGACAAATGCTACCACATTGTAATGTGATGTTGAAGCACAAATTCAGAAACATGCCCAGTGGCAACTGGTGAAAAGTATGAACTGGCGAGAAAGTCTGGATGACAGAATTTTCTGAAAGGTGGCATTTAATACCAGGTAAGATATTTCTTAAAGCATATTTGTAATTAATGATTTCTCAGATCGACATTGTTTTCTTCAAGAAAAGATTCATACCCACATGTACATGTAGATTTTTTCTTTAAGAGCTCCCTCCTCCTGATACTTTGGAATTTCTAAAGACTGGCCATGAATGAGTGTTGGGTGTGCAGGGTTCAAAATAATTTTTCAGCTTTAAGCGTAAATTTGTAGGCTTTTTTGTCAAGGCTCATTATTTTCCCGGCTGTCAATAATAAATGAGCAGTCAGCTCGTGTCTTCATTTTTTATTGACTTTTCACAATTTGGGTGTGTGTACTGCTGAAACGGGACCCATTGCCTAGCACATGACCAAAATCTTCCTGAATCAAATTTTACTCTTTTCTTTAAGAACCCTTTTTTTATTTAAAAAAATTTCCATTTATACGGTGTAAATATTGTAGACTTTAAATTGCTAAAATAATTTCAGCATCAGAATCTCTATTTTGATCAACATGTTTCTAAGGCTTCTAACAAAGCGTAGTGAACGGCTCAATTTTTCGGTGTTTGTTCAAGCGTGAAATGTACTTCTAGATAAACTGTCGCGCTTCTTTATTCACAGTCAAGGGAAATGCGTACTGTCAAGCAGTATGAATACAGAACCAAGTTTAATGCTAACGTGTGAGGAGGCTTTACAAACGACATTAAACAGGATTTTGCGGAAAAATAAA